TGAGACCCTAAGCCCTAAACCCTACACCCTAAGCCTCAAACCCTAAACCCGTAATCCTAAGTACACTGAGCTGTAGACCCGCAGGCTCAGCGGATGCGAACCCATCATCCGGCCCTGCCAACTTCCCAATCTGGATTGCAGGCAGGGTTTTGGGCTATAGGGTTTAGGTTGAGGGCTTAGGGCTTATAGGGCTGAGGGTTTAGGGTTTAAGGTTTCGGGCTTAGGGTTTAGAGCTTAGCGTTTAGAGTTTAGGGTTTTGCGGCTTAGAGTTTAGGGCTTAAAGGGTTTAGGGCTTAGGGTTTAGGGTTTAGGGTTTCCGACCCTGCCAGCTACCCAATCTGGATTGCAGGCTCAGAGGTGGGCTTCATGACGTTTATTAGCGGCAGACTAAGGGGTCGCAACAGGCAGTAATGTAGGGGCCTAAATAATTACCTATACTATTTTTTTGGGGGGGTTCCTGACTATAACAATACTACAAAGGAGCCCAGAACCCTATTCCAACTATTAAGGCTCCCATAGTAGTCGTTTCGTTTAAGGCTCCTGGTTACAATTCAAGTATCATCCGACCCATAGATGCAAATGCTGTCATTCTCATGCTCATTGACACGATTGGCGGTCATTGCCAGTCGTATAGTTACTCATGCGCCGTTTGCTGTGCAAGATGTGCCAGTGCTGCGATCGAGACGAGAAGTCTCATGGATTTTCGTACCAGTGTCCTACTAGAATGAATATATAGAGTCGTGGATTGCGGCTGTAGGTTACTCGGTCTGGGGTTCACGGTTCAGGGTCTTGATCATGCCAGCTGAAGTCTCACCCTCAGCTGATTCCCACTCGTATCTAAAGCCCAAGCAGTCCCGGAATCTTAAAAAGCCTGTAAAGCTTAAGCCTTCAACCCGAAACCCCGAAAACCCTAAAAGTCCTTACAACATTATTTCGACCCGTTTCCCTTTAACCCTTCTTGGAGCTGTAAACCTTCAGTCACCCAGCCGGACGCTGTCACCGGCATTGAAGGGTGTTCGCATGGGTCATGGGTTCATGGTGCCCTAAACCCTAAACATCCCTAAACCCTCATAGCGCTTTTCTTTGAGCTTAGCCGTATGACTCTGTGGAGACCTTGAGAATGCACGACCTAAACCCTCTAAGCCCCTGCTGAAAGACTTTGAAGACTCTTCTGAAACCCCAGAGCCGATCCAACCGGTTTAGGGTTTAGGGCTCTTTAGGGTTCTGTAGGGTTTAGGGTTCCTTGGTTCTTTCGGGTTTAGGGTTTGGGGTTCTTTGTTCTTTAGGATTTAGGGTTTCGGGTCGACCAATTCTGTGGCCTTTTTGCGCGACTTCGAGGTACGATCTCTCCAACTGCACGGGCACGGTGCCTGGGGAGCCTTGCGAGGCCTACTTCCCCACATGCATGGAGGTTTTGGAGCCATTGGCTTTCGGGAGCCTTTGGGTTCTTTGGGCGTTTAGGAAATACCTAGTGGTACGTATATAATATAGGGCTTTTAGGGATTTGGGGTTTGGGTTCTTGTTTTCAAGCTTCTTGCTAGAGCCAACAAACTACGCACCCTAAGTATGTGCCAGCACCTCCCGTGAGGTATACGACGGATATCAATGTCGCCTTGGAGCTTCTGAGCATTCTACATACCCTAACCCCCCAGTTACCTAGAGCCCCTAAGGCCCTATATAGTAGGTACCTGGAGGGTTAGGGATGTACATATCGCAACACCTTAGTCTAGGTCTTCAGGCCTTCCTGTTGCGTTTGTTCATGATTTCGGCCCGGTACCTCAAGAGTGGAAGTTCTTCAGAATCAATCGGGGTCTAGGAGGGCTCAGAGTTTCAGGATGCCGGGCTCAGCGTTTGGATTCCACAACCTTCGAGTGAGCCCTACCGACCTCTTATAGGAAAGCCGGTATCTGGCGCACAGAATTCTTTAGACCTCATCGTCTCTGTATGGGGATTTCCAAAAATAGGGGACCCTACTATTATAATACTCTAAATAATAGGATCCTTATTATAAGGACCCAAAATAAGGTACCCTAATTTTCGGAAACTCCCGTATGTTTAGGCTATGCCAGGTTTTGATTGAGGGCCTGCCGCCATTACTCCCACTGTGTCTGTAAACCTAGCATTTACCAACCTTCCAGCTTTGCACATGGCTTCTGGCGGTTCGCTGGGCCGCGGCTAGTCACTGGCTAGTCATTGACGCGATGTTGCCGGAGGCCTTGAGTATTCTCGGCTCTGCAATAGCAGCCACTGACTTGGGTAATGCTTGTGACATGGGCAAGACGATATTGGGATGCTTGGTCTTGGGCCATTTTGCTTGGCGATCGGAAGGAGCCATCGACGCCTTACTGGAATGTCAGAGGTCCACGCGGCTAACTATCGACGCCGCTCATCTCAGGCTCCGGTGTTAAAGTGGCCGCGCGGACACTTACCGAAATCTGCAGGCCTGCAGCCCCCACACCTCAACCCAAACTTTAAGATCCTTGAAAGACCCCTAAGCAAGGAAAATGATTAGCAACCTCCACCTGAGCTGCCCCAAGGCTAATGCAAAGAGGACTTGGAGCTTTAGCGCAGGCTCTTGGATAATCCATGGTAGAAATCCTGCGGTGATAGAGTTAAGTTCTCAATAATTCATAGTACTATCCCTCAGGAACAATCCCGCAAAAGCCACTCTAAGTCATGAGGCCGCTAAATTCACCCGAACGGGTCGAAGAATTGCTTGAGTTTAGGGATTCAGGTTGCTCATGGTCAGGGTGGAGGGTTCGGGGATCCACCTGGGGATCCAAAAACCTACCGTTTTATGGGTTCTACCCACAAACTAAGGGGTCATAACCTACTATTTTGTAGGGTCTGGGGTCACAGGCAGGTTTTGCGGGCTTTAGCTCGCTTGCTTCTAAACGTTGAAAAAACTTTGCGTGCACTTCCTGACCCGGTGCAGATACGCTGCCGACCGCCCTACATCGGCGTGCCCCAACTTGCAGCAGCTTGGACCATGTTGGGAAGAGGTCAACTACATGTAGGAGTAGACAGGATGCAATAGCACGTATACGGTATAGCACATGAGTATGCTCAGGCTCTTGGCACTTGTCTAGGTTCGTGGTGGCTTAGGCTGTGATAGGCTTGCGGGATGTCGTGCTCAGGGCTCAGGACCTGCCTCCGGGTCTTGATTCTGATGTTGCGGGCGCCTACCGCGAAGCTTGGGCTTTCTTTCGGGTTGAACGGCTCTGCAGTTATGCAACTAGGCTTGCACAACCTACAAAGACCCTAGGTACAGATCCTCGCCAGCACAAGCTTCGTAAAGCCAAAACGGGGACATACATCAAGGAAGTGCTGTCTGCACCACCCTGCAGAAACTGACATCGCCCACCCCTAAGTCCTTCGACCCACTCGAAGACGAGTCTAACCCGGCTCAGATTTGTGCCCCTGGCAATGAGACGGCAAAGCTTCAGAGCGAGGATGGAGTTGGCTTTTTGGTTGCGGGCTTTAGGATGTGAGTCGTTTATAGTAGAAGCCAGAAAGTTGGAGCATGGTTTCAGGAATATTAGTGCTAGGATCCCTTATACTATACCTTCGGGGCATGAGGACAGTGATGTTCCAACTTTCTGGCTTCTACTATAGGTCTTCCGGTTTAGGGATGTCTAGGGTCTTGGGGCCTCCGGGATGTTTAGTTCACATTTCGGGTTTCGGATTGTAGGGCAGTTTGGACTTTAAGGCTTCTGTGTCCAGGGAACTCTGGAATGAGGAGCAGTTTTGGGTTTGGATTTTCCGGCCTTGGGTTTTGGAGTTCGGGTTTAGGGTTTAGGGTTTACCTGGTTTAAGGCATGTGGCTTACAGGGGTTGTGGCATTTTCTTGGGAAGGTCTGTCCATCGGACACCTCTGCTTTTCTGGATTGGTTCGCTTACTTGGGATTCGGATTGAACCTTAGGGCTCCACAAGCCTTAAGCCTAAGCCCAACTAAGCCCTATAGGTCTACTTTCTAACATAATCTGTCCCAGGATCCTATGCCAACGCTATTTCTGGACCCCAAATCCTACAACCCTGAACCCCCCTACTCTAGGGGCCTAAATAATTACCAATACTATTTTTTGGGGGTTCCTTATTATATCTATAGTATAATGGGCCCCCAAACACTATTCTAATTGTTTAAAGCCCCTTCCTTAAAAACCCTAAACCTTCAAGATTGCAGCCCCGGCCCTGAATTTTGTCTTGGCACAGGAACTGCGCTTCACGCGGCCCTACTGTGACCTGGAGGACCCAAAGGGTCTAAGTACCCATATAGTAGGTATTTTGGGCCCCAAAGTATCTACCATATTAGTACTTAGACCCTTTGAAGGAGTCTGGGAATCGGTTCAGGGCTCTCCGTGCTTTTTAGAGGGAGTTGGAGGGCTGAAGATGGGGCGCCGGGGCTGCAGGTGTAGGAGTTGATTGTATACCTATAGTCTCCATTGTAGTTCCTTTTTTGGGGTTTGACCAAATGTATATTAACGAGTCTATAAGGTATCCCCAAAAAGGAACTACAATTGAGACTATAGGTAGGGGGCTACGACGCTCGGCTTGGTGATTTTTTGGACTGGGTACTGGGCCACCAAGACCCTCCCCCCCCCACCGAACCTAAAGCCTTACAACTTTAGTTAGGCCTCAAGCCTCACACTCCTCAGAAGCCCGCGCATCCCAGAAGTCCTTTATCAAGCCCCTACTTAGAAAGCCAACAGGAGAACTTTAAACTTTTGCCTTATCCATCAGGTCTATCCTAGACCTAAGTTTGAACATTTTTGGGCCTGGTTGTTGAAGAAGAGAGCCTATAAACCCTAAAATACCCCGGGCCCAAAGCCTCTTGACACCTGGCAGGTTTGTCCAGATCCAGATCCCCTTCCGCCAGGCACGGTTAACGGTTCCACCTCGTCTTCTAGGGCAGCTTAACAGGTCTTCTTTGAGGTGTTATAGAGTGGTTCTTTACTATGAATCCCCCTAAGCCCTAAACCCCTTCTATATTATAGAGGGATTCATAGTAAGGAACCCAAAGGATGCACGTCTGTGAGGTTACAGGTAGGGTTTATCTTGTACGAAGGCGCTGGCGAGGGGGTTATTAAGGTCAGAGATGTGTAAGCAAAGCCTTGAGAAGTGAGCCCCGAACCCTCGGAACGGTTAAATACCAAATTCGGCAACCGAAGCTTTTCTGATGGAGGCCTTCCTTCATGTCATCAGGGGCCTCCCCACGTGGCTCGGGGGCGTTTTCCTTCTTTAGGGTTTCGGGACATCCGGTCCGCGCTCACCAAGGACAGCACGCACAGCCATCAACATCAGCAACGAAAAGGAAGAGCGGTAACAGCAACGGCGGCGGCAGCAGCAGGAGAGGCAGCACGTATGTCATTCGGAGAGAGCGCGAAGCGATAGTTCGTCTCGAAGAATCAACATGACAATCCACCGAGACGCTCCAGAGTGAAGGTTGTCGCTTGCCATGTCTAACTTTCGGCCATTGGCACAGCTATTGCTCGTGGCTTCAACTCTACTACCAGAAAAACAACAAGAAATACAAGCATCAGAATGTAACAACTATCATGCTCCGTCTCGGTGCTGATCGCCACCATGGCATGGGCACACTGCAAGACGCCATCATTGTTCGTCGACATCTTACTCGTCATGAAAGTGACTCGGAGCACCATCACCGACGTAAGGATCGTCATCATCCTGCATGGCCCATTGCCCCAACTTGTGAACTCACCCTAACCCCCCAGGTACCTACTATATAGGACCCTAGAGGCTCTAGTACCCTATATAGTAGGTACCTGGCGGGTTAGGGTCAATGCGCACTCACATGTTCATCGGATCTGGGATTTCGGATTTAGGGTTTCGCTACATCGTGGTCTTCGTCGCCACCCCAATGGCAATAGCTGCAACGTGGAAGGCTACGAGCGAGTCGGAGAGGGCTTCCGCTGCCTGCCGGGCTTTGCAGTGGCCTCAGCACAGGGAACTTTCTGTCACTGTTGGCCTTGGTTCACGGGTCAATGCCAGACATACACAAAGTCCGCTATCTGGTCAGATGCAATGCCTTTTTTTACAGGACTTTGCACGATTCTGCCGGCAAGTTGGTTGGAAAGTTGTGTTTACTGAAGTGGTTTTTCATGGTTCACTCCGTGAGCATGCGCGACACTAATTTGGACACCCAGTTTTGGCATCAACGTTTCCGTCTGAACGTTTAGCACATTTCTGTTCAAACTTGCTGCTGTCATGATAGATGCATCGTGACGGTGCCATTTCAGAGACAGGAAACCAAATCGGTCTATGTAGAGAAACTCAGGTTACTTCGTGTACTGCTGCTGGTTTGTGTTGTAATTGGTAGTGTTTCTGCGACTTCATAAATCGATTGCCCTGCCGTGCGACCATCTAGCCATAAAGTCGAACGTTCTTGGCATCCTCGAGCCCCGGTCCGTTTGGGTTGCAAGGGTTTGTGCTTAGCTGCTTGCTGTCCTTGTCAAGGCCTCGTTCCGAACAGGAATGTAGAGGCGCTACATCCAAACCTTTTTGCGGGAGCCTGAATTGTTGGTGAAGACATGGTAGAAGCAAGGATTTTCATATATTGCGCGACATTAAACCCTAAACCCTTATAAACCCTAAACCCTTATAAACCCTAAGCCCCTAAACCCTAAACACCTAACCCCTCAACCCGTAACCCGAAGCCACAAAGCCACTCCTGCGTCGCTGCTCCAAACCCCGACCTCGAAGGCCCCAAGACCCACAGACCGGATGCAACATCCTGGAAAAAACAGTGTACTGCTAAAGCCCTATGTAGGGTTTGGGGTCTAGGGTCCATTATTATATTATATGGCTTGGGTCAAGGGTTTAGGGTCGTAGGTAAGCCGTGTTTTGAAACCCTCAACCCCTGCACCCCAAAACCCTATAAACCCTAAACCCAAAACGCTAAACCCCTAAACCCCTAAACCCTAAACAGACCATTTAAACCCTAAGCCCCAGAAGCCCCGGGGGGCCCCGAGCCCCCGGAAGCCTTGCCCCTGGCGATGGGGAGGCTGGCAGCCCCGTGTGGTTCTGCAGCCAGAGCCCCAGAAGAGCTTTTAGGTCGGGTTTGAATCAGGGTTTAGGGTTTTGGGGTTTAGTTTAGGGTTTAGGCTTTAGGTCGGGTTTGAATCAGGGTTTAGGGTTTTGGAACCCTAAACCCTAAACCCTGTAGGCTTTGGGGTTTAGTTTAGGGTTTAGGCTTTAGGGAAAGTCTGCGGCTTGTCGGTAAAGGGATGTCCGCTTTGTTGTGGGGAGGTTCAAGTTGAAAGTTTGGACTTTGGGTCTGTTTGCTGGTGGTTTTTGGGGGGAGTCGAGAGTTGTAGACTGTTTCAGGGTTTTGGGCTCGGGAGCTTTGTGTTTGCATTCGAGCTTTTAGGCTGGACAGGTGTGTTTTTGAGCTTTGAGCACAAGAGAAACGAACATGGAACTTGAACATTATAAGATAGCACCTACTGGCCTTTGGACTTGCAGATCAGGGCTCCGGGTGGTTGCTACGGATCTTGGATGTCATTTTGGAATCCAAAACTTGCAAGGCCCAAATCCAACACTCCCCCAAACCTGGTAGAATCCCTACTTAAAGGGTCACGGGACTTAGTAAGTAGGGTTATAATTAAGGGTAACTATACTTATAACCCCAATTAAGGGACTTATAACCTTACTTACTAAGTCCCATGATCCTCCAAGTACGGCCCTACGGAGCCCCTTAAAGCGCAACGCCCCCAAATCTCTGGCTGAGGCGACCTGGGAAACTGTCAGCATCGGCTGCAGCTGCGAGGACCTGCCTGGGGCGGCTGAGAGGTTTGGGGGGCGGGGTTTGATAAGCGTTTAGGGTCCAGGGTTTTGTATTTTTGGAGGTGGAGGTGGCGTTGAATAGGTGTTCTGGGTTGATGAGGGTGTTAAAGGGAGGTAACATGGTTTTCGTAGGAGTAGACGTGACGTTTACGTGATCGGACATGATTTTGTTGGGTGAATAGCGCGTTCACACGGTGTTTGCTACATTGAGTTCGTTCTTAAACAGCATTGTATAGGGTTTCTAGAGGTTGTAGTTGCTCTGTTTCGCGAGAGTTGGCCTAGGGAGCCGGGGCCCAGGGTTTAGGGTTAAGACTTAATTGAGGGCTTGGAGTTTTAGGCTGTAGGGGTTGCAGGTCTTGGGGGTTGTAGGATGCAGGTCTTTGGGGTTGAGGTTTTTAGGGGCTTGGGTTTAGGGTTCTACCTGCTTTATGACACGAAGCGAGTAGGGATTAGCCAGCCACCAAGGCGTAATACCCCAAACAAGCACGACGCCACAGCCCTGAAAGTTCCACAAGTCTTTTCAGATCTGTACCCATAGGCCCCCCATAGTAGTTCCTTTTGGGGTTCATATTCAGAATCCTATAAGGTAATCCCCAAAAGGAACCACTATGGGGCCTATGAGTAACAACCTCTTGGAGTCGCACAAACGAAAACTTGAAACATCGACCCCAAGCTCTACAGACTCTATATACAGAGTCTTCATGTCTCTAATCGAAACACGACACACTGTCTATAAGACTGACGTACTCTTTGTGGACCTCTCAAGAGGTCGCCTAGTTTAGAGGACTCCTCCCCGTTTGAAGACCAGTCCGTCAAATGCTGGGTCGCTAGGATGCTCCAACTCCACGGACATCAATATCATGATCACGCAGCTCAGCGAGGTGACTTGCTCACAGGGACTGCTGGCGGCTCCAACGTAGGGGCAGTCCCTTATAAATACCGGGTTTGTAGGTCAGTGTCGGCGGGATTGCAGGCCTCATCGGCGTTGGGGTTTAGGGTTTAGCTGCAGGGTTTGTATGAGCTGTGCCTACCAGGGTTGTAAGACCCTAAACCTCAGTTCAGACAACTTCGCTGTAAGTCCAAAACCAGAAGTTCCTAAACCACTGAATACTATGTTGTTGAAAGGCAATCTGGAATTTGAAGCATCGTAAGTCCTTAGAACCTGCAACAGCGAAGTAACAAGCAATCGCGAAAGAGCTGTGACTACAAGAGGCGTTGACGGAAGAAGGCAACCGCAGACCTCCGCAGGCACCCTCGCAAGGTGGCTTTGCGCCGTGTCGTGCTGGCCAGGCTGGCGATTCGCAGTTTTGGGGTTCATCGTGAGGTGTTTGGTAAGATGTTAGGAGTGGAGAAAGGGACGGCCTAGGTTTCGTCAGGGGTTACGGTTGAGGGTCACCTCAGGGTATGGGGTGCATGGGGGAGGGAGGGTAGGGGCTTGCAGGCTTTGCCCGGCTGTAATGGGTTTCCATCGAAGGTTTTACAAGTCTGTCAAGGCTCTGAAATATTGTCATCACTAGCATTATAGGGAGATGTATGCTCTTACGTTCTGTTTACTAGGTGATGCTCTCTAGGTAGGTTGGAGGAGGATCGCACGGTGGGGTTAAGTGGGCTTTGGGCTTCGTCCATAAATAAATGGCACCCTGTATGCGACAGTCTACAAGGGCCTCCGGTGAGTGAGGGCTCTGTGACCTAGAGTTGCAGACTCTACAGATGAAATCCAGAGAACTAGCCCAATAAGTTTGGGTAGGTTCTCCGGTGGTACCTTTCTGCCCTACGTCTCCTGCTCAGAACTGAATAACAGCAGCAAGGGTATTGTTAGTGGGGCATTGCGGAACTTCGGGTGGGGGCATCTCCATTCGTTTAGAGATTTCGAGACTGATTAGGGCCATAGGGGCCTCAATAGTTAGAGTAGGGTTCTGGGGCCCATTATACTATGATTATAATAAGGAACCCCCCCACCCCAAAATAGTATTGGTTGATTAGGGTTCAGGGCTGAGGGATGCTGCAATTCGGCACGCGGTTGAGCGTTGAAACCCGTAAAGCTCCCGAACCACAAAATCGTGAAACCCGCGACCACACATGACAAAGCTGCACGGAAGCCACCTACAATTGGAGTATCTACGCCCTAGAATACAATCTGAGCTTTCCAAACAATAGGCCATAAGTCAAAAGTCCCCAAAAGTTCGAAACCGTGAACAGTGCAAAGAATGATTGCTCAAGTTGCTCTGCACTTTGAGCCCTCAACAACCCTTTACCACCCGAAGCCCTCATGAATCCACGGAAAAGCCTACATATTTCCTTCAAGAAGGCTGTGAAACTCTAAACCCTAAACCTCAAACCCAAAACCCTATTGAATCTCCTGAAAACCGGAGGACTGCGGATCGCCGTTAGATGCCCCGGAGGGGTACGGCCAGGCAGGGCAACAGGTTTGGGTTTAGGGCTTATAGGGCTTAGGGCTTTAGGGCGGTCGGGCTATGGGGGTTTAGGGCTCGGGGTTCAGGATGATTTAGGGCTGAGGGCTTATAGGGCTTTAGGGGCTTTAGGGGTTCAGGGTTCAGGATGGTTTAGGCCTTTGGGGGTTTCGGGGTTTATGGGTTTGGAGCTTAGGGTTTTGGGCTTTACTGGCTTTAGGGGTTTCGGGGTTTAGAGGTTTGGAGCTTTGGAGCTTTGGGTTTAGGGCTTTAGGGGTTTGGGGCTTTAGGGGTTTACGGCTTTATTCTAAGGGCCTTCGAGGTTTCTAAAGGGGTTGTAGAGTCTAGCAAAGGCCTCAGTGAGAGTTCCGGGACCTAGGCTTCGGATTTGTCGATCTGCTGTGCAACACTGGAAAGACGACCAAGCAATCACGCCAGGCCCGAAATCCAGCTCTAAACTCCTAAAACCCACAAGATCCGACAACTGCCTGCTAAAGCCTGGGCCCTCAACCTTAAAAGTTCGGGACAGCCAAACGACCGGCCACGTGGTGCCTGTGGGAGAACCTCGTCGAGCTCAGGGCCGCAGCCCAGTCACTTCGCGAGACACGGCTCCAGAGGATCGTTGCCTGCGGAGACGACCACTGCCTCTCCGGAGCCGGGCGCCGCTCGATCTTGGGTTTAGGGTTTAGGGGTT